CGTACGCAGCGGAATTTGGTCTCTTTGCTCGTCTGACCGCAATGCAAGCCCTCGGCTTTCTCAGAATGCTGCTCGTGTGTTCAGGACTCCAAGTCTGCTCGCTTTTCAGTCCCGGGCTGGTCCCGGCTGCTCGTTTCCAGCTCCCGTTTCAGCACGATTTGTACCTATTCAGCAGCAATCCAAATACAGAGGTTAAGAACAATAAACCTACAGAAATGAACAGCAGTGGAGCTGAAGATACACGGTAAAATGCTGGAAAAAGAAGGGAATAGAAGAGAAGAACGAAACACTCCCTTTTTAACCGAACGATTGACGAAAAGTGACACTAAGTAGGCTCAGATCGTCCTTCTTTTCCGGCACCCTCGGTAAGTCGCGGCTCGGTGGCGGTCAACGGACGGCAGCCCCGGTTCCTCGGCCCAATCCCCGGGCTGCGCTTCCACACACACGGCCAAGCACCCGACCACTCCGTCGCAAAGCCCCTCCTCTCACAAGGAGATTCGCCGGAAACCCCACGCAAGGGCTTTACCCGGCGGGCTGAGCAAGGCGACGACGAGGCGGCACAACGGCGGCTCTCACGACGGCACAACGGCGGTACTCACACTCAAAGGTCACAGAGAACAGAAAAGAGAAAGACTTAGAGATCGTCGGTGTGTATCCTCACAAAGAGAGAGAGATCGGTTTTTGGGGGCGCAGCAGGGTGAGAGAGTGGAGAGTGAGATGAGTGTTAGGGTAAATGAGAGGAGAGCAAATATATATAGTGTGTAATGGAGGGTTAGGATTTAATCCCTAAATCCAAGGGTCCAAATTAATCTGCCACTTGTGTGTGTGTGTAAGAGGGCCAGGCCCAGTCGGGATTGGGCCGGGGCATCCTTGGGCCTGAGATAAGGTACAGGTTTTTGGGCCAAATATCCTAACACATCGTCACCTTCCTATCAGTCCCATACTGCCTTGTCCCCCAATCTTTTTTGCAGGGTTACATGTGCTTGTCGCCATTGATTGTGAGATCGCCATGTATATAACGAGTGGCACGTCCGCGCTTCTCAGGAGAGCTTCTTTTCATTCTTCTTCATCTTCGCGTGCTGGGAAAAGGGTCTTCTCCTCTCTCTCTGGGAAGCCCGCTCTCCCTTCTCCTTCGACTCCCGGTGCCGGTGGTCTTTCGCGCTCCATTGGGCGGCAGCAGCAGCATCGATCTCTGAGCTATCTGACGCCAGCGCGGTGGAGCCACGGCGTTGACTGGAAATCGCCCTCGAGTCTCGCGGCGCAGATCAGGATCGCATCTGGGTGTTCAGATAACCTGTTGAGTCGAAAGATCACTACAATGGGTGGGTAGCCTTGCAACTGTAGGAATTTTGTTTCTGTTCTGTTTTTATTTTGTGCCAAGTTTCGAATAAACTGCTTCAGTTTTTGTGATGTGTGGATTCAACTGGTCTTACCTTGCCTGCTGGGGTGGTGGAAGTGTTGAAACTTGTTTTGGTATATATTGAAATTACCATTGGTAGTGATATTGAATTATTGATATTGATTGATCTGTGGAATTTAGTTTCTGTTTGAAATTGTTTTCTTGGTTCTCACATATATAAGAATAATTGTAGATGGAAAATTTTCATTTTGACACTACGACTTAGCCAAAGTTGTTAGCTTTAACTGATGGGAAACTAAAGTTGGTGATATTGACGTAATTTCTGCCTGTGTACCTATTTCTCTGTGATGGAACTGAAGTGGACATTTGTCCATTTGAAAGGTAAATTTGATTTGGGTTTACTTATTTATATTAGATGTTCATTGTTTGTATTGTATTTTACGTGCTACTATTTAGTAGAGAGCTGTCGTTAGTATTGTATGCTATACATTGCAGAATCATATTAGAAAATTTGTCCATTAGGTGTTTGGACAAAAGAAAACTGTGCATCTGGATCATTGCATCTCATGAATTTATTTTGGTATATATAAGATTAGTACTTTCTGCACCTGCTTTTTTTTTTTTGGTCTGGCTGTTGTTATGTGGAATGATTTAGTAATCTTTACTCACGTGGTGTTGTTTCAGCTTCTGAGAATGCCTTCAAGGAAATTTTCACCGTTCTTCCCAAGCCTGGTGGTGGTGAATTTGGGAAATATTACAGTCTGCCCGCTCTAAAAGATCCGAGGATAGGTAACTTATTCTTAATATATTCTATTTTATCTCATTTCGTTTCAAATTTTCTATATATCTTTTATTTTGACAAGCTGATTTATATGATTCTGAACTTACTAATTATTAAATTTGAAATTTATAATAGCATTACTATTTGGTCACCATTGTTTTTATTATGCATAGAATAGTATTTGCACAAACATTAATGTTACAATGGTGGCTTTTTTGTGCGTATGCTATCGCTACAGATAAGCTACCATACTCTATAAGAATCCTTCTTGAATCCGCGATACGTAACTGTGATGGCTTCCAAGTAAAAAAGGAGGATGTGGAGAAGATTGTTGACTGGGAAAAATCTGCCCCAAAACAAGTTGAAATCCCCTTCAAGCCTGCTCGTGTACTTCTTCAGGTATTGGTCTGATTGCACTTAGTTGACTTTGATAATAGCTCCTTAGCTGATATCTGATTTTTTTTTTCTTTTCTTTTGATGCTAGGACTTTACTGGTGTACCTGCAGTTGTCGACCTAGCCTGCATGCGTGATGCTATGAATAAGCTTGGCAGTGATTCCAACAAAATCAATCCTTTGGTAAAGATTATGCTTTATGTTTCTATTTAGCAACTAGATTTTTATAGCTTCAGTTTTTGTTATCAGATATTGTTGCTGAGCCTATGGTTTCTGATAACGAAGGTGCATTCCCACAGAGAGATATAAAATGGGTTTGCAACAAGTTGTACTCATTAATTTATCATAAATATAACAATTATGTCATTATTTCACATTATTTGGAGTAAATTCAGTTAGCATAACAAAAGGGAATACCTAGGAATAACGATGTGCTTAATATAAAGTGAGGAGAGAAGACAGAAGGAAAACAAAGTTGTTGACCAATGATTTCTAAATCCAATATATTGGTTGGTTGCAGGTTCCTGTTGATTTAGTTATTGATCATTCAGTTCAAGTGGATGTTGCAAGATCAGACAATGCTGTTCAAGCAAATATGGAGCTTGAATTCCAAAGAAACAAGGAAAGATTTGCTTTCCTGAAGTGGGGATCTAATGCTTTCCGGAACATGCTTGTTGTTCCTCCTGGCTCGGGTATAGTGCACCAGGTATTGGAGCATAAAAATAACAGAATCAATCTTATTTCAGCGCATGAAATTGTTTGGTATGCACCAGTGTTATCAATTGGCGGCGCCACGGGTAGCCACCGCGGGATTTTGGCCTACCTCCAATTTCCGGCCATATCCATTGATAACACTAGTATTCGCCAACTATCCATGTAGAATAATATGTTTGTTACTTTCTTACAATGACGACATTCTGCAAAAGAGTAAGTTTTTAGTAGGCATTACTTTGTAGTTTTTACTTTGATCACCTTCTCGATTAAACATTATGGAATCGTTTCCTGTGCTTTGTTTAGGTCAATCTCGAATATCTTGGACGGGTTGTCTTCAATACTGATGGCATACTCTATCCAGATAGTGTGGTTGGGACTGATTCTCATACCACCATGATTGACGGGCTGGGAGTTGCTGGTTGGGGAGTTGGAGGTATTGAAGCTGAGGCAGCAATGCTTGGTCAGGTAAAACTGATATAGTTAGAGTTTATATGGAGGCTTGCCTGTGTGTGTGTATGTTTGTGTGAGGGTTCTCTATTCCATATTTATGGCTCAAAGAAAATTTGTTGGCCAATTTATTTGGTTTTTCATGCTTATATTTGCAGTTAATTTTTATGTTATGTATACTATTCTCCTGCTGTTTCAGTATTCTGTCCACATGATTTTTCCAATTGGTACTCATGCCTGAAGTTATCACCTGTGACTCAACATCATATTGAGATTCTTAGTGATATCTTTTACTTTCTTATGGAATTTGTATGAAGATGCCTGTGCAACGTGTAGTTAAATCTTTTATCTGTCTGACAGCCTATGAGTATGGTATTGCCTGGGGTTGTTGGATTCAAATTATCAGGAAAACTTCGGGATGGGGTCACTGCTACCGACTTGGTTTTAACGGTCACACAAATGCTAAGGAAGCATGGTGTTGTTGGAAAATTTGTTGAATTTTATGGTAATATTGCTTAGTCTCGACTCTTTAGTTACTTGCACTCTTTATGAGAGGACCTAATAACTAACGTGCAATTGTGTTCAGGTGGTGGTGTGGGAGAAATCTCACTAGCTGACAGAGCCACCATTGCAAACATGTCTCCTGAGTATGGTGCCACTATGGGATTCTTCCCTGTGGATCATGTCACTTTACAGTATCTGAAATTAACTGGCAGAAGTGACGAGACTGTACGTACATTTCATTTGCATATCCTAAGATATAAAGAAATTACTTCTATGTATGCCAAGTAAGTTAACCCCGATACACCATTATTCAGGTGGCAATGATAGAAGCTTATCTTCGAGCAAACAATATGTTCGTTGACTATAGCGAGGTAGGCATTTATTTGGATTGCTATTCATTTCATTCTTGGATAGTTTTGTTGATTTTATGAAGAATTCAGTTTTTATTTTTCCTTCAAATATCAGCCACAACAAGAAAGAGTATATTCATCTTACTTGCACTTGGATTTGGCTGATGTGGAACCATGCATTTCCGGACCCAAGAGGTGTGTTCTGAGGTTCTGCACTCGTTTTTTTTTTTTTTCTTTGTCTCTGTTTTTTGTTGATAGCTAATCACACTCCTTTGATAGACCTCATGACCGGGTTCCTTTGAGAGAGGTGAAAGCTGATTGGCATTCTTGCCTTGATAGCAAAGTTGGGTTTAAGGTATGGATATCTCCTTGCGTGCATTGAAGTTTGTTTGTCTTGTTTTACTTCGTTAGTGTAATTTTACTATTTCTAGTTAGAGCACTTACTATTTTTATTTATTTATTTATGTTTTGGTGTATTGACTTGGTATGGTGATACTTATCTCTGGACCTGGATGAGCTAGAGATTTTTCAGTGTTGCTTGGTTGCTGTAAAACAATTTGCGTGAATTTATTGTTCAGAATGTCGTCTTGGATTTTATTTGCAACTCCTTTTAAGGCTATTTACTAAACCATCTTGTAACTGCAATATAGGGATTTGCTGTGCCAAAAGAAGCACAAGAAAAAGTCGGCAAATTTTCCTTCCATGGACAACCGGCAGAACTTAAGCATGGCAGTGTTGTAATTGCTGCTATCACGAGTTGCACGAATACGTCAAACCCCAGTGTCATGCTTGGGGCAGGCCTTGTAGCAAAGAAAGCCTGTGAACTGGGTCTTAAGGTTTAATAATTTCCTTATTATTATTAACTGACCTGCTCATTCAAATTTGGCACCTGATTTCAATGTTAAGCTAATGAGGAAATTTTATCAGGTCAAACCATGGATAAAAACAAGTCTTGCTCCAGGTTCTGGGGTTGTCACAAAGTATTTACAGAAGAGGTATTGCTCCTGACATTTTATTTTATTTTATTTTTTAAAATTCAGTATTTTGCAAATGCTCATGTTAATACGCACACTTCATGTGATGCAGTGGGCTACAGAAATACTTGAACGAGCAAGGCTTCCATATTGTTGGGTACGGCTGTACAACATGCATCGGAAATTCAGGGGATTTAGATGAATCAGTTGGTGCTGCTATATCAGAAAATGGTATTTTAGAATGTTTTACCTCTTTGTGTATTTTCCTGTGCTTGCATGTGAATGCAATCTGTTCATCTAATTGGGTGATTGAATTTTCCAGACATTGTTGCGGCTGCTGTGCTTTCTGGAAACCGTAACTTTGAGGGCCGTGTCCATCCGTTAACAAGAGCAAACTATCTTGCCTCACCTCCTCTAGTTGTTGCTTATGCCCTTGCTGGCACGGTTAGTAATTAATTTCCAATTGCATTTATTTCTACAGTTTATCATATTAATCTAATTTACCATATTTTACCACCAAGGCTGACAAAAATGATGGACATTACGTCTTGTCAATAAATTAATTTCAAGATGTTTGCATTTATTGGCAGAATGGACCCAGCGATTCATTTATGATAGTGCGTATCTGATATTATAGTGATAGAAAGTGAATCTGATTATGATCTTGAAGCTTCCATTTTATTTTGTTTGAGGATGATGGAAAATGTAGATGACTTAGGCTGTGATTGCTTGTGATCCCGTTGTGTAAAAGTTTTCCTCAAGGCTCAAGTATGTTTTTTTGAGGAAAAATGCCACCTTTTAAAGTTTTCTTTTTTTCCCCTCGAAATTGCACGATTTATCTCATTCACACTTTTTCAATCATCAATTACATCTACCATTCTAACTATATCTATCTATAATCTATCTATATCTATAATCTATATCTATATCTATAACTCTTAAAAAGAAGAGTTGTTTCTTGAAACTTTTGAATTGCCAAGAATACCCTCATAAAAAGATAAGTTTTTAAGGTTATTAATGTAATTTTCTTATTAATGTTAGGAAGTTACAACTTCTATTTATTATCTTTTATTTTTTTTATGCTCAATTATATCTTTAAGTTCTTACACCTACAAAACATTACCTACGCAAATCCATATATTTTAAATAATAATTTATTCCTAATTATATTATTCTGAATTAATGTACATTAGGTTTCGATTTGGTTATTCTAAAGGTAGTTTAAAATGTAAGAGAAAAAATTATTTTAAGATTTTTTAAATATAAAATATATGATATTTCATAAGTGTAAAATATTAATGCACCACTAAAAGTATCATCTTTAATTTTCAAATATCATATTGTTTACCATACAAATTTTTGGTTACAGTATTAAAAAGATTAAAGAGGAACAATTAAGTGAACACACATGTATAAGAATGATTGAATAAAAAATAATTATTCAACATACAAAATGTCAACTTTCTATGGAAAAAAGTTAAATGTTAAGTAAAAAAAATATGATCTTAACGAACGTTTAAATTATTCACTAAAACAAAATGCATAATATGATTTAAGTTTACCTGTTAATAATATGTATAGTATAAATGCTCTTATATAATAATGTGTTACATAAATTAATTAGCATTTACTGAATTGTAATATAAACAAAAATAGATTGCTTCCATAAATAAAATAACTAAAATTCTATTTTAAATCTTAAATTTCACAATACGTGTACTTATTAAAAAATAATTACAATTAAAATTAATTAAATAAAAATAAACATTAAATTTACTTTAAATTTGTTGTCTTTAGCATATATTATTTATAAAATCATTCATAAATTAAATGTTTCAAATCACTTCTCAAAAGTAGGGAAAATAAACTATATAAAGTAATGACAAAGATATAAAAATAATGTTAAGAGAAAAAAAAATGAAAGAGTCATCATTTTATAATTTATTAAAACTAGACTTATTAAATCTTCACATTTATGAGTCTTGAGAATCCGTGAACGAAGATAATGCATGTATGACAATTTTAGGAGATGCGACAATAATTTATTTTGTAAAGATATATAGATAAATGAGTATCTTTAAATCAATAAAGATGTTATTATTCCTAAGCTTTTTCATGTATTTTATTTTTTTTTTGGAAATAATTACGACTTTAAAGATATTTTCAAAAATTTATGTCTCTTATGTCACTTATCTAGGTATTATGAAATTTTATACCTAATATAACTAAACTTGCAACCACTATAATCAAAATAATTGAGAACGAATTATTCAAACATAGTGTTTTAGCTTCCAATCGACAATAAAAAATGATCATTACGAATTATAGTTATAACAATTCGAGTCATTTTTCAAAGAGTGTGATGCGAAAGGATGGCATAATTAAAAAACTATATTTGATGACAATATTAATGATCATTATTTTAAGCAAAAGGACGGAAAATAAACTATATAAAATGTTGACGAAGATATAAAAATAATGTTAAGATAAAAACAAAATATGAAAGAATCATCATTTTATAATTCATTTAAACTGGAGTTAGTAAATTTTCATATTTAGGATAATCTTGAAAATCCGGGAATGAAGATAATGGATGTATGCCAATGTTAGGAGATGCAACAATAATTTATGTCGAAAAAGATGTACAGATAAATAGGTATCAAAGATTATATAAATTTCTTTAGCATTTACATTTTCACTAAAAAAAATATTAATTTTATTTTGGGTTTTCAATCCAATGTTTTTTTAAATTTTTTAATTTAATTTATCATAGAGTTTAGTTAATAGTATTAAATACTATATTTCATTATTCAATAAAATACACATTTTTTGTTAAACTAATTGAAAGAAAATTATATTATACTATTAAAGATAAACCTAATACTAAAGTAATTTGAAAAAAAAAAAAAAAATATCACGTGCGTAGCACGTGCATCTTCCTAGTTTTATTCAAAACATATCACATTTATTCACCATCTTTGTCTCTTACATTCCCAATCATCATTTAATTTCAATAACTATGTATTAAAATACATAAACTCAACCATTAGCATTACATTTTCATCTGATAACTAATAACACTATCGAAATTCTTTTCTTTTCTATTTTTCCCCGGTTTTCACACTATTCACGTGAAAATTAGAGAGAAAAGGGCCAGTCAATCAAAGCTTGACATTTGTGATGTCAAGAAATCAGGTGAATGCACTTTTAACTTTGTATATAGCAATTTGAACTGTATTCGTTTTCTTTTCACAGGTAGATATTGATTTTGAGATAGAGCCAATTGGTGTTGGCAAGGACGGTAAGGACGTATACTTCAGGGATATCTGGCCTTCAACTGAAGAAGTGGCTCAGGTAAGTAAAATTTTATATTTGCTGGTTAATTTCCTAGATCCATAAAATGTGATACCCGAGTATGAAAACAAAATTTTTCTTTAGGTGGTTCAATCCAGTGTGTTGCCTGATATGTTCAAGAGCACATACGAGGCAATCACCAAAGGTAACCCTATGTGGAATCAGTTATCCGTGCCGACTGCCAAGCTATACTCGTGGGATCCAAATTCTACTTACATCCATGAGCCACCATACTTTAAGAATATGACCATGGATCCTCCTGGCCCACATGGAGTGAAAGATGCGTACTGCTTGCTCAACTTTGGCGATAGTATCACCACAGATCACATCTCGCCAGCTGGCAGCATTCACAAGGATAGTCCTGCTGCCAAGTACCTGATTGACCGTGGAGTTGACCGAAAGGATTTCAACTCCTATGGCAGTCGACGAGGTAATGATGAAATAATGGCCAGGGGTACTTTTGCGAATATCCGTCTTGTGAACAAGTTGTTGAATGGAGAAGTTGGCCCAAAGACAGTCCATGTCCCCACGGGAGAAAAACTCTATGTATTTGATGCTGCCATGGTAATATCTCGCATTTGTATATTCTTTCATCAAAAAAGAAAAGGATAGTGCAAATATTATCGTTTTTGGAAATAAAACTTAAATTCTGTTGACGTATATGTATTGTGGCACGGATTGCACCTATTGCAACTTGCAAGTGGTCATTTGCAATTGTGAAATATGACTTGGTTTTCGTATAATTAAACCTAATTCTTGGATTTTTTTTTTTATTTTTTTTTTTTTTTTTTTTTTTTTTTGGGGGTTGCATTTGAAACTTGGTTCTTATAGCTGTGGTAAAATTATTGAAATATCGTATTTTTCTTTTGACTGAATTCAAAAACACAACTTTCAGAAATACAAATCCGAGGGACAGGACACCATTATTTTGGCTGGAGCTGAGTATGGAAGTGGAAGCTCTAGGGATTGGGCCGCCAAGGGCCCAATGTTGTTGGTGAGTAAAAAATTTCTTCGCAACCATTTTAACTTCAACTTCTTGTCTAGTAACGTAACAATGTCTTCCGGATAACAGGGTGTTAAAGCTGTAATTGCTAAAAGCTTTGAGAGGATCCATAGGAGCAATCTTGTGGGAATGGGGATTATTCCCCTGTGTTTCAAGTCCGGTGAGGATGCGGACACATTAGGTTTGACTGGACATGAACGTTTCTCCATTGACCTCCCGAGCAGAATCTCTGAAATTCGTCCTGGCCAAGATGTTACTGTGCGAACGGACGCTGGAAAAGAATTCACTTGCACTGTCCGCTTCGACACTGAGGTAAAATTCGCTCGTCCTTTCCAATTATTTCAAACCGTAGCTTTTTTTTTTTCGACATTTCCCATTATACGTGAGAAAAAAATGTATATCTGGCATGCAAAAGGTTAAAATTGACATTGTATTTACGTTTTTCATCGTCTTTGATTAGGTGGAGCTGGCATACTTCAACCATGGCGGTATACTTCCATACGTTATTCGACAGTTGACCAAAAATTAGTAAGAGACATGCTGATCGGGCATGGACCTCGAGTTTCTTCAATTGTACAATGTGAGAATAAAATGCTTTTATTATTTTACGGCCGGTAGAAATGCGGATGTACGTTTTTATCAGTTCTTTGAAACAGGGGGCAACCATTGCTTAAGTACCAATGAGTACATTTTTTTTCTCTTTTTTTCCTGGTGGTAGAAGGGTCAAAATTTGATAAGCATATGTAGAACTCTGATGAGATTATGGCTGAATTTATTTAGTGCAATTATTTTATCTGGGCCACTGGTTTTAGAGTAATGCACACGGAAGGATGCAAACGCGTGGGTCGCTCTCAAGCGCTCGATCGACTCGAGCTCGAGTTTGACCGAACTCGAGTCGAGCTCGAGCCCATATTTTGCTTGTCGAGCGGCTCGAGATAATGCTAAATTACCAAAACCCCTTATATATATGTTAGCATAGGTCCTTAATGGTAATTTGACTTTTCCACTTAAAAATTTTCGAGTCGTACTCAAGCCAAGCTCGAGCATTTTGATTTCATGTCGAGCTCGAGCTATTGTAATATTTTATCGAGTCAAGCTCGAGCCTAAAAAATCGAGCTCGACGAGCTCGAGCAGGTAAAAAAAAAAATCAATAATGTTCGATAAGGTCAATGCTCGACTCGGCTGGGCTCCATATCATAAACTACTTGCAAAAAAGTGCCTTTGCCATTTATGACACAGGTCCCATTATCATTAACATTACATTGGGATGTGATGTTGATGCAACTCATCAAACTGTGAAATATTGTTTTCTAGCAGAAGACCTAAAAAAATTCCAACTATTACATCACCTAACTGTTTCTTTCTTTCTTTATCTATTAATTTGTTTTTGGAAAGAAAAATCAAATGAAGATTTAACTCCCACAAGTTTCAGACACTAGAAAATAGAAAAAAATAAACCCTCAGTTAATAGTAACTGAGGAAAGGTATCTGGCTGACTTTGACTCATTCTATCCCATTTTTAATGCATGGTATTATATAAATAGACCCAATAATAATTAGATGTAACGTAACTTGACTTACAATTTTTTTGCGTTTAATATGGAGTATTATCTGACTTCAATAAGTTTATAGTTGGTAAACATTACTGAAAAGCGGTTTTGCTATGAAGCCAACAGTTGACTCCATAGCAAAACCGTACTAAAGGTGAATATTATCAAAGTTGTCAATTTACAGATACAAAGAATCATACCATCCTTTTCAAATTATTGCGCCACCTCTATTAATTTTCTAATATATAGTAAATTAAAAAGTCACAGAAACCACAAAGTATTTCAAAAGTGTAAACGACAGCTAAACTTGTCAAATTTTATCAGAGAAAATTGATAAATACAAAAGTTTAGACTTATATATTTAAGCTTCTTTTATTTATTTGACGAGATTTTATAAAATATTAATTAAGGTGAATTTTTTAATAATTATTTTTAAATTAAAATATCATATTCTAAAAAATAATATAAATAAAATTATAATATTTCACCATTTTAATTTAAATATGCAATATTGTTGAAAAGTGTGAACCCAACCCACCAGGGTGGGTTATTTTTTTAAAAAAATATAAAAATCTGTGGCAAAAAATAAAAAAAAAAAATAATTGTGGAAAAAAATCAAACGGACGGATTCTGAAAATACGTGTTTCTAATTAAAATTTTTAACCGAAACACGGATTTTCAGAATCCGTTTTTGTTTTACATTTTATTTTTTTTTTTAAAAAAATGAAAGTCGAAACTGTCGGTGGATTTTAATATTAATACTGGACAACGCGAATTACCAAAATCCGTGTTACGTTTAAAAAAAAAAAACGATAAACACGGATTATGAGAATCCGTGTTTTGGTCAATATAAACAGCTGCATACTGCTCCCCCGACCACAAATCATTCATCTATCCCAAATTTTTTTCTTTTTTCTGTTCGATTTTTGAAGACAATTTAAAAAAAAAACATTTCAACCAATCGTCGGGGAAGAGGTTAGTTGTTATTTTAATGTAATGTAGTATTATGTTTTTGTTGTTTATTAATGTTTAATTGAAGTATATTTGGTTAATTGAGTATTGTTTAGGAAATCATGAATATTGGTTTAATCGTTGTGTTAAATGATTATAATTAGGTATTGTATGATGGGTTTTTGTTGTATGTTGAATATGTATCCGAATTGTTTATAAATTTGATGTTATTGTTGGATTATGGTGATTAATTAGGTATTGGTAGTGATTAGGATTTTTGTTGTATGTTGAATATTTATTCGAAATTTTTATGAATTTGATGTTATTGTTGGGTTATTGTTGGATTATTGTTAGATTATTGTTGGATTGTGGTGATTAGGGCATTTGCTATTGTTTTTTAGTTGGAATAAAAATATGAATATTTTTTTTTTTTTTTTGTGCAACAGGTTATAAATGGCGTCTATAGGTCCTTATTTTGTTAATGTGTACTGGAAAATTCCTCAAATTGAGTTAGGGAATTTTTCGAATTATTTGGCTCGTCCGGATTGTTCATTTATTATTAATGAGAGAATATCATATGAACAATTGGTAGATATAATTTACAAAAATGGTGGATTTCGTGATAGTTGGACAATTTCGAATATTACTTTCATGGTCCAACAACCGGATGGGTCGTTTATTCCCGTAAGACTGGATAATGATAGTGCGCTTGAGTGGATTTACTACTATCCTCGTATGTCTGTTGTGTTTTTGTATATTGTGTTGGAAGCAAACACACAGGTTACACAAGTTGAGGATCCTGCCCCATCATATGGTTACGGGGGAGTGTTTGGTGATCAGGGTACATGGACTACGCATGCCGGTAATTTTGGTGAAGGGACGAGTAATTTCGGCGAAGGGACGAGCTTTACCATGAGAGGACCGGACATTGAGGAAGAAATTGTTGGAGATGAAGATTTCAGTCCCGGTGAAGACGATTTCACTGATGAGACATTGGAAACCGAATCGGACAGATCAATTAATGAGGAAAGCGAACAAGAATTCATTGAAGAACTCATATCGCGAGATGGGTGAGTGGGACGCGTCGTGTGTAGACAGAGACGAGTATGCCTTGCCACTCTGGGATGGGCATGTCGAGACTATCCGTTTGGGTACAGTTTTTCGTACCAAGGAAGAAGCTCAGACTGGTGTTATGGCCTGGAACGTTGAGAATCTTAGGGCTGTCCGGACAAAAGATTCGAACAAGAGGTCGTTCAAAGTTGTGTGTAGATCGGATGAAGTTCCACCATGTATATGGAAGGCTCGGGTGAGTCTTAACACACGGGTTCACGACATGTGGGAGGTAATGGAATGGACCGATAGCCACACTTGCATGCAGGTGTTCGAGAGAAATGACCATAAGAATGTGACCGCCACCATGATCTCAAATCTTCTGTTGGCTAAGATTCAGAAGCAGGTGACCTACAGTGTGGAAATGGTGCAGGCCGACGTAAAAAGCGCCTGGAGCGTCGATGTCAGCTATAAGAAGGCGTGGCACGGGAGAAAAAAAGCCATCGATCGTGTGTATGGCACGTGGGAATCGAATTTTGCACAACTCCCCCAGTAAGTGTCGAAATTAATTATTAATGTATTTCCTTGTTGGTTGTAACTATATTTAATTATTTATTTATTTATGGTTACCTTTTATAATTTTTAGGTTTTTCGCCGCCATTCAAATGGCGAATCCCGGTACAGTTGTTGAGTGGCAATGGCAGGGTGGGGAATTGGCGCATCATTCTCGAGACAGAGAATTCAGATTTGTCTTCTGGGCGTTCGGCCCCGCCATTCAAACATTCCTTCGTTGTCCGCCGATTATTAGCATCGACGACACTCACCTGCGAGGTTCGTAGCAAAATATTTTTTTATTTCATTTGTTGATTTACAATAGTGTCTGATAAACAAAAATCATATGTCAAACTGAGCAGGTTCATACAAGGGGAAGTTGCTTGTTGCTATTGCACAGACAGCGAATAAGCGTCTATTGCCAGTCGCGTATGCGATTGTGGACGAAGAAAGCACAGCTAGTTGGTCTTTTTCCTAACACATCTGCGTAATCATGTCGTTCGCGACAAACCGATATGTCTTCTTTCTGACAGGGACAACGGCATATTGAGTGCCGTTGAATTACTAGAGGCTTGGCACGAACCCCATGCATTTCATCGGATATGCCTTCGACACCTCCGGAGCAACGTGCTTTCAAGGTATCGGAATAAGAAAGTCCGAGTTTTGTGCTGGAGGTTGGGTTCATTGTGTTCTCGTCGGAAATTTGAGCAGGCTCAACAGCAACTTCAGGAATGTCACCCGAAAGCATACAATTACCTTTTCCGAATTCCTTTGGAAAAGTGGACCCTGTACAAAGATAACAGACGTCGATGGGGCACTCTGACAACCAATATGTCAGAAAGTTACAACAATGTCCTCAAAGGTGTCAGGTTCCTGCCCTGTAGAGTGTTGGTACAGGCCACAATGGACAAGACTCTAGCTTTGTTTGAACAGGAACAAAAAAAGTCCACAAGCTGCAGGAGTCTCATTCCGACCGAACTGTATACCGCCTATCTGGTGTTGGACAGGACAACGGCGACTCACGAGGTGCAATGTGCGGACGCCGACGGATCCCAATACAAGGTGATAACTGGTCTACGCGCCAGTGGAAGAGGGCAAAACAAGTATGTTTTTCTATTATTTATTTGTCCATTCAAATTAGTTGTTTTTTATTTTTATTTATATATATCAATCATTGTGGAAAACAGGTTTACGGTTGATTATCAGCATCGACATTGTACATGTCGAAAGTGGCAGACATATCGGAAACTATGCTCTCATGCATTAGCCGTGTGTCGTTACCGGGGTGATCAACCGAACTTGTTGTACGATTCTCACTTTAGGACGGAGAACTGGGTTGCTCAATTTTCTAATTGGAATTTTGCTCCAGTTGGAAATCCTGACACGTGGCCGCAGGTGGGATGGAATTTGATTCCGAATTGGGACAGGATCATCTCGAAGCCTGGACCCGGTCGTGCCCAAACGAGACGCTTTAAAATGCAAATGGATCGTCAGGCGCACCGCAGAAGGGACCGAGATCAATGCAGTAGATGTGGTGATCCAGAATATTTCGCGGACCATTGCCCGTATTCGCATCCTCATGTGGATCGAACTCGACTCCGTGATGATTGGGGGAACTAGATTTTTTTGTATGTATTTTGACTGAACCTGTATTGTTGAGATTAATATTTTGTATTTGAATGTCTGAACAAGTGTTGTTTATTTTTGTGTATGTTGATTTGTATGATGTGTGGATTGGTTTCGAATTAGTACAATTGAAGTCAAATTCGTGAAGACATGAGTATGAAATTGGTAGCCGGAATTTTCACGCTGCGCAAGTAACTGTAACTGCAAAGCAACTGATTCAATTAGTACAATTAAAGTCAAATTCGTATAACTGAAGTCAAATTAGTACAATTGAAGTCAAATTCGTACAATTGAAGTCAAATTCGTACAA